CTACTACTACTACTAAGTACTACTAGATACTACTACGACGGCTGCCGCTGGCCACGCGGCGCAATACTTTCGGAGGCTGCTGGCCGTCCGTGGGTTCTGTGGTGGTTCAGGCGGAAGATGCACGACTTCGGAACCTGAGCCCTGAGTGCCTGCTGCCTCCACAACGACAAGCGAGAGGCAGGCCTGCAGACTCAAAGCGGCATCTATCGGCAAGTCGTGGAATGGAGGCTGCCATGTTGCCGACGTGCTCCTGCTGAGTGAGCAGTGAGCGAAGGAATTTCGAAAAGGCCTAGCCTAGCTAAAGGGCGTCGGGTTTAGTGTGTAGCGCAGGCTTTCGGGCAGGGTCTGTCAGGCTTCCAGGATTCCACGTACGTGAAGTTTGCGAGCACAAATCCCTGCTACAAAGCCGCCCGTTCAAGTCTTGCCATCTGCAAACTGTGAATTTAGCTTGCAGGCACGTCCGAGAAGACAATCAATGTCACGTGCGTTGATGGGCCAGGCGCTTATGGGTTGCTTCTGATGCAGGGCAACAATGACAATCCAAGCACAGACACACATGTATAGACATATATAAATGTATATAGATATATATATATATACATGTAACTATACATACAGATGATATATATATATATAATTATACACACAGGTACAGCATAATGACTACAATAATTCACTAATACATGCGTACAAGCTCTCGACATACGCGTCCTGGGAGCCGGAGACATCGGAGACCATGGGTGCAAAGACCAAGGAGGTCATGTTGACGAGCAGGGTGATGTTCGCTGAGAAGTCAATGTCCGGCACGTACCACAAGCGATTCCGCAACTGGTACTGGAGCCGGCGCTCCTCCCGAAAAACGGTCCCTGCCAGCTCCGGGTACTTGGCCTCGCTGAAATTGCCGGAGAGGCTCAGGGAGATGGCCTCGCCCACACGGAGGATGTGAATGACGTAGGTGGTGTTGACCTGGGTTCTTGTTTCATAAGGAACTGAATTTCAGCTACCATAATAAGGAAACTCGACTATTCACTATAGATCCCTATTATGGGAACTTGAGTTGTAAATCCTTGTTTAACAAGAACGCAGTGACGTAGTCGCCAACCGCCAGGAGCGAGAGGCGGGAGTAGAGGGGGCCGCTAGGAAGCGAGAGCTGCTGTTCACCCGAGGCGTTTAGGAAAAACGATCCATGCTCCTTGAGCTGGTTTAGGGCTTAGGGGCTAGGGTTTTAGCTTAGGGTTTAGGGGGGTTATAGGGTTTAGAGTTTAGGGCTTCTGGAGCTGGTTTAGGGCTTAGGGGTTTGCGGTGAGGGGTTAAGGTTTAGGGTTTAGGGTTTCGGGAGCTCAGGAAGCAGTTCTCTACTCATGATGGAAGGAACCAGGTATAGGATATTTTGGCACGTGGTTTTGACACACACACACACGCGCACACACGGTTCACCTTACAGGAAGCAGCTCAGAAGAAACCATCATCTTGGCATGTTACTGCACTACCGCTATACTCATACGGCCCATGGGAATGTGATCCTCTGTGCAAACTGAAGCCGTTGCTGCTGTCCTGGTCGTCCTTGGTGACGAAGGGATGTACCAGCTTGATCTCCGCACCGCGGGTGAACTCACCGAGGTGCAAGTCCACGGTAAAGGAATCGGCGTTCTGGTCCAGCAGCAGCGTGTTGTGGAAGGCGGAGCTGCCCGAAGGATAGATCAGCTTCCCTCTCGTGAGGCCATAGTCTACGAGTTCCCCTCGCAATTGCAAGACGTCCAGCGTGACGCGGGCCACGAGCATCAAGGCTATGACAACGACAGCGGTTGTCACGTGCCGAAGCACGGACAGGCTTTGGGCTCTCTTTCTGGAGAGACTTGCGGGAGGCTCGGAAGTGCTCTGCATCGCTTCCAATGTGGCCGTGTACACCTCTTGGCTCGCCAGCTGTGGTTCCCGCCACTTCCGTCGCACAGCACAACTGTCGTACATGGCCTTCCCATGCATCGCCAGGCCAAGCAGGAAGCACAGCTCAGACACAAACTGCTGGCGAGAATCGCCGGAACCAGCTGCGAGCTTGGCGATAACGATAGTCAGTATGGCAGCCTGGAGCGCCACGAAAATCCCGAGAGACGTCAGGTGTGTTGCAGGCAGTTGCAGCAGGTGGCGCTTCTTCTGCAGGACCTGATCATACTGCACGGCGAGCGCACATGTCTGGTAGCGCTCCAGCATTACCAAAAGGTGCGTAGCCAGCGTCCCAAAAATCAGAAGCATCATAGCACGGAAGGAATACATCGACGTGAAGAACTCGACCAAAATCCACTGAGACGACACGTGCACTGACAGCATCACTAGGCTACTTCTGAGAAGCACGGGCAGTGAAGGCAACAACTCCGGATGCGTCGAAAAAACCGCATTTGGCTTGTCCTCGGCCGTCACCACTCGTGGCATAGCTTCGCCTTCCTGTTCAGGGCGCGGCGACATGGTTGACAAACAGCGAAGGACGATAGAAAGATCTGGCAAAGACAGCAAAGGAAGCATCGAGTGAACGGCAACCAGCGAAAGTTCGACCGAGTATGATCACGGTATGGAAGCACATGTGCATATGCACATATGTGCATATATATATATACATATATATATATATGCATGTATATATACATATATAGATATGTACGTATACATACACATACACACATGCACCTTTGATTACGTACGTACTTACTTACTTAATTCAGAAATTCATGTTCATGTCTGTATTCAGTTTTACGTGATATGATATATAGCTACATTAATATGTTTGTGTAGATAGTTATATAGACAGATACATCGGTAGGTAGATAGATAGACACTACTGTTTTCAGGCCTTGGCAAGGAGTAGCCAGCCAGCAGGCGCTTCCATCCGTCCCCAAAGCTTCTCCTTGGGCTTGCCCAGCAGCGTCCAAAAGGCGTCCGCCACGTCGCCTCCCAAAGCCAAGGATACCAGGGACAGCGACACTTTCCCCTTCCTCGGATGCCCAGTGCGTAATGATTGCCTTTACTTTTGACGAGGATGATTGTTATTCGGGTTCGGCTCCTGCTGATCACATCCGTCTGTCTGACAGTTGCACTCCGGTTTTGATTCACGACTGTTCTTGCTCTTCATGAGGGTCATGGTGAATGCCAGGCATATGTGTTCTTCTTTATGTTTGGGTCTGAGTCTCTGCACTTCCTTCACGACCACGCGGCTTCCAGCATCCAGTGGATCGGCCTGAGCCTTCTCGCCACTTTCCTGATACCTTGATTCAGGGTTTCGGCACTCACGCTCGGACACTCCAGGCGGCATGTGGTTCGAGCTCTGCTTGAGTGAAACTTCATTGCGAGTCAAGCCTGACACAACACTACCATAGATTCAGGGGCTAGAGGGCTCGGGCGTGCGCTCTTGCAACTCGGACAGAGGCAGACGAGGTCTCTCGCTTGGCAGTGGGACAAGAAGAGGGTCACGGTTTAGGGAGTCGTATGGCGTAGTAGGCATGATGGAACCGGGCTGAAGCTGGTGAAGAAACTGGTGCAAAGACCACTGCCGGGAACACTCCTTTATGGGGATGTTGAGGCTTCTTGTCAAGTTTTTGAGGCAGAGACTACGTAGTGTGAATCAAGTTGAATCTGGCGGGATAACAAGTAACCTCACCAACAGCATGCGATCCGGTGGTTAATCGAAACATGCTTGCATGGACTCATCGACACAATCGCGCAACCAGTGATGACGATCATCGAAGAAAGAGTGACATCAAGCGAACCTGCACGAATCGCATCGCGGTAGCGACAAACACAACGATTGTAAAGACCCTGTACTACATAAGCCGTGGGACAGCTGTGCATGCTGCGTCAAGTGGAACGTACAGGGAAACGACCAATCCTCCTTCGCCTTCGCCAGCAAGGAAGCCTCGGGCTCATCGGTGTCTTCTTCACCATCTTCTTTTGATGCTCCACGGCCTTTGACCATGACATAGACGGCAGAGATGGCCAAAGCCAACAGCAACACGGAACCAGAAGCCAGGACGGCTTCCATGAGGGAGATAAGCCGGGCTGGGGACGACTTATAGCGATCGAGGACTGCATACCAGCCACGAACCATGGAGCTTGGGTGCAAGGGCAGTGCTTCGAACGGCAATTTCGCGACGCAGCGCGGGGAGGATGGGGTGGGCTGACACAAATACCACGTGCCGAAGGCTTCTGGAGTGGTGGGCACTAGGAGCGCCCGCCAAGAAGAGTTCACCTTCTTCGGGTCCTCTGGGAAAAGATGGAGCTCCACCGCTGGCCTCTGCTCCTCCTCCCCCGGAACTCCCATCAGCGCTTCCTTGAAGGTCTTGGTCGAAAGCTTGTTTTGCACCGCGGACTGCAGGACTGTCTTCACCTGCTTGACGCGGAAGCGTTGCGCAAGCTGAGCACGCTTGGCATTGGTGTCTTTCTTCACCTCACAGCATCACAACGACACTTATACACTGTGACTGTGACAGACTGTGACAGCTGAAGAAATCGTCAGCACCGCCTGGCTCAAAACTCACACAACCCCGGGCCTTCGCAAGCTTCACACCACGCATGGGATCATCGCAGGAACCAGTCTTGGATAGAAAGAACTCCCGAGATTTCATGAAGGTAAAGTCCGGACCTTCCAACGCCAGCGATCGCAAATCCAAGCCACTCCTTGCAACAGCGCAAGTTGACAAAGGTAGATGAGAAGACTTGTAAGGGTAAGGTAGACAAAAGCCTGTGCAACAGAGCTGCGGGTGCTCGCATCCAGCAAAAAACCTTTCAAACCCTGAACTCCGAAGTCACTTATTATGTAAAACCCTGAACCGCAAACATGCGCGACCCTGAAGCCGTGGCTCGGAGTTGCACTGGGGCAGTGATCCCCATCATTCTCCGGTGCGGTGCTTACGTGGCGATGGTCTGCGGTTGTGTCGCGCAAAGCTTGACACAGGGACCATATGAATTGCCAGACAACGCAAATCGATAGCATGGCACGAAAAAAGCGTGCGTCTACTCGCTCAGCCAAACACACTGCGATAGCCTAAAGCAGCTCAAGGCTCCTTTTCCATGACAAGTGGAAATGACTTCTGTCCGAAACTGCGTGGCACCTGGCAGAAAGCATTGCAGCCAGCTGGGGCAGAGACGAAGCCGGCGGCCCCAGAGGCCCCATCCTCACTAGGCGCATGCCCACAAGAAAAGCTCCACGTAGCCTTCAACCAATCGAAAGAATGAGTGAATGTAACGGGATGTAGCTGGCAGCGAGGGTTAGAGGGCGCGAGGCATTTTTTGACGTAGCAGAGCTATGTCATCTCGGACATTCGAGGACCGAGCAATGGGTTCAAGGATGTATAGGGTTGGGGATGTATAGGGTTACAGGGTTTAGGGTTATGGAGACCGAATGGAAAAGTGGTGATACTGTCATAGGTGCGATACCTTTTTGGCTGAAGGGTATGGAGACCAGGCTACAGAAAAAGATTGTATGTACTGACAAAACCCAAATCCTAACCCGCCAAATGCTCGCGAGATTCTCTAAAAAGCCCTAAACCCTAAAGCATTTTGGGCATATAGACCCTCTCAATAAGATCCCTTCTAAGAGAGCCAGAAGTAGGGTTAAGAAGGGTGAACTTTAAGGGGTTTACCTAGGAGAGGGCTCTCAGGCCTCCTCACCAACGCTCGCTACTACGGCCCCACACCCCATCCATCCGATCGATCACGCATGAAATGCCATGAATTGCGAGGAGCTTAACAATAGGGGCCCTTAAACCTCATGCTATAATCCATGTATTGCAATTGGTCCTGAAACTCCCTTTGAGGGTCCTTGATACTCACATTCCTCACCCCTTCAGTTGCCACCCCAGGCCCAAGCTAAAGGCCGTTTAGGGCGGCACCATGCCCCAAGCACCCCTGCACTCTCTCCTGAGCTGCAAGCCCCAAATCCCAAGCCCAGGCCCTGGGCCCCAAGAATCTAAGATCTAAGCTGCAAGGTATCAACCCCGACACCCAGTTTGCCAAACTGAAGGTCAAATGCACCCAGATGAAAACACTGGACCCACCCGGCCCAGGGCTCGCACAGCGTCGTCCCACAGCCCTCTTTGGCCGAGCTTGCGTCATCTGTCGAAACCTGCGCGGGACCAGACAATGTGAGCTATCCATCCTCTGGCATCGCTCAGGACTTGGGATTTGGAGTCTGGGGTGGGCTGGGTGTGGGGTTTGACGTGAAGGGTGATTGGGCTCGCGGTTAGGGGACTGAGGGTTTTGAGGTCTATACATGATGCGTCGTTGCAATCACGACCAGGACTGCGACTACGCACGGCAGGACTGGCACAGCATGCAACATATACGGACGTGTCAACTTATGCTATGACCGGGCTGCAAGATGCGCTGGCGAACCAAGCGAGGTCTGCTGCGGCACGGGCAATGACAGACTCGCAATATTGTATTGAGTTGTTAGATATTACTAAAAAATATCTATTCGAGGATACTCTCTCTCTCTCTCTATATATATATATATATATACATACATATGTATATATATATATATTATATACTCGGTGATTGCTTTTGAGATCTTATGCGAAGATCACAACCCCGAAAAGTCGACCCTCGTCGAGGCCTGGCAACCCGAACTACTCAAGTTCTTCCACCTGCCTGGAGATTGTGAAGTCTACAGAATGCTTTCGCCGAACTATCCTCACTATGCCCTTTCTTGTCCTCTTTCCTGTAGATCTTCTACAGCATCTGTAGCTATACGGCTGCTTAAACAACTCTGGACAATCGAAACAGTTGGCTTATTCAAGGCTTGTTACCGACTGGGTCGCTCATGGACTCATGGTTGCTGGAGACCTGCAGACGTAATCGGTGGTGATGGCACCCGAATTCGGCAGGACGACTTATTCCCGGGGCCGAGCTTGCACCCGTTGCATTGGCCACGACGGGATGCTGATCGTAGAAATCTTCGCGGGGCCCTAAACCCTAAACCCTAAAACTGGGATCTTTTTCGGTGAAACCCGTGTTCGCCCAAAGAAGCTGCCAGGAGCTCATCTTGAAACTAGACTTTGAAGTAACCAGGGAGAAAAAAAGCATAGACTTTAATTTCATAATGGTTCCTTTGAGGAACAGGTCCAAAAACAGTATTCAAGTATGGTACTCCAGAACCCAGTGACAGCATCATCCAGGCGGCTGGTTTCTCAAAACCGCGTGCCCGAAGCAATCTGAAGAACTCAGTCACCCAGCATATGGCAAGTAGTTCCGGCGCCTTATGCACAAAAATAATGTGGTTTTGGAACATACTGTTATAGTTGTACTTTGGAAGACTAGATAATATGAATAATTCTTCCGGCGTCTAGTAACAACATAATGTTCCCAGAGACACAGAAGCGAACTGTTGAGCAAAGGGCCTGGAACCAACAGGTCTCTGAGACCTGCCCATTGCTGCGGGACGGTGCACGTGGAGGGTTCAGGAGTAAAATTCCGAACCCCAAATTTCTGGTAGTTCAGGCTTTAGGGTTTAGAGTTTATAGGGTTTAGGCACTGGGGTTCACAAGAACCTGGCAAGTTTGAATGTTACACTCTCTCCAGGTAGGACGAACTCGGCTTTGAAGAACAGGGGCTTGCCTGGCTGGAACTCTGCAACTCGACAGCATGGTGTCTTGGGATCTGCTACAAGTAGCATGCTTTGGGATTTGAGCTCTCGGGCTTCAATGCAAGGCATCAAAGTGGCGCATCGACTCGAACTTGCCGGGTTGGACACGGAAACTCGAACTGCCCCGACTGCACTACCGCAAAACGCAGATGGCTATCAGGAAGGAGCCTCAAAGCATCGCAAGCTTTTCTGCACGTGTGGGCAGCCACCGAAGGCTCGTCTGCACGTCTCTGCAACACTGTCGGGACCTCCCTAAACCCTGAGCCCTGCTACGGCGTTGAAGCTTGGGACATGAAACCCGCATATGATAGAAAGAGAGAGAGAGAGAGAGAGAGAGAGAGCGAGAGAGAGAGACCGAGAGATACCATACAGGGATTCTGCTAGCTGATAACGTTGTTATTTTTCTGAGCCCTTCATCCCAAGTCCGAGGATCCAAAACCCCGAAAGCATGAGAGTTGTACATCTAAGTGCCATTTGAGATCCCCGTAGCCGTGTCAATGGTCTGCAGGCGGACGACGCTACTATAGGGGCCTGAACTTAATTAAGAATTAGAATAGGATTTTGGGGCCCATGATACTATGATTACAATAAGGAACCCCCCAAAAATAATAGAGGTAATTCTGAAAGCCCCTATATTACTCCTCCAGAGGTCCCACTGGCTCCTCACCCCCATCCGGGGATCGTCGAACCACAGGGGTGTCCTGCGGTTTCGGAAAACCCTAAACCCTAAACCCTAAGCCCTAGACCCGAAGCCCTAAACTCTAAACCCTAGGCCCCGAACCCTATTCCAGGCTGAATGTTTTCAGGGTTCGGGGCTTCGAAGTCAAAGCCTCAATCCGGCCGCATGCTGGGATGAGGGAAGAAGGCTCGCGAGGGTGGCGCACAATATGGTGCAAGATTGAGGGTAGGTCCGTAGACAAATCTGTGTGTAGATAGGCTACATAAGCATGCACCCACAAAAAACACACACACACACACACACATGAACACATACATATATACTTGACATACATATATATATATATATAAACATGTACAGAGTGTTACCTATATGTGCATATCATGTAACGTTCAGCAGATGCACAGGACAGTCATGCGAACACATATGCACGATGGAGATGTGCGGGAATATGGGTGCAAACATGCTGGCAGGCATGAATATATTCATGCATACGCATGTATGTATGTCACACACATTGTATGGAATATTTGCTCTGTAGGGTTAGGTCTCAATCAACGAGCCACAGCCCAGGCCACGCAATGCAGAGTGCGATTGGACTGTACTGTATAGGGACCTCGGAACCTTCATAATTAGAATAGGACTACGGGCTATGCTATATTATACTACATTTCATAATAAGCAACCTCAAGGAACTCCATTGTAATTCTTAAGGCCCCTAGAGGCCTTGGGTCTTTGAGTTTATGACTCCGTTCACCGGAAGGGGGTTTTGCTGTCGATGATGCTGTATCTTTATGAAGGAACCCTCATATTTATTCGGGCTTCGGTGCTTGGGAGGTAGATCGAAGTGAAGGTCGTAGTTCCAGGCAAGAGAAGGCGAATTGACAATCCGGAGAAGTACGGCGAAGAGCCATAGATCCGGAATCCTCGCGCTCTCAGACGGTTTAGGGTTTAGGGTTTAGGGTTAAAAGCAAGTCGCTATCCTCAACTCTGAACCCTGGTTTCTTCCCGGTCTCCGGAAAAGCTCCCCACTCTGCCCAGGAGCCGTCGTAGACGGTCCAACGTGTCAAGGGCATGCCTGGAGAATCCAGCCATAGATTTACGTACCTAGGGTACAGACTTTGTGGGTTTAGGTTAGGTATTATCTAGAGGCAGAAACGTGTCAACTGTTAAACCCTCTACTAATTTCAACAATGAAAAAACCTTGAAGCTCTTGACATGGGGGTGCTGGGCATTGCCAAAAATGGCTGAAGGACCTCGACTGCTGCTGCCGCACTACGAAAGCCCTTCAACCTTCCAGCCATAGATCCTCAACTCTTCAACCCTAGTAGAGCCCTGGGCACAAAACCCTAAACCCCAAACCCTTAAACACTGCTCCAAATAAACACCAAACCTTGCACCCTGAAACGCCCAAGTCCTGAAAGCTCCATCTCCTGTATCCCCACATACTCATCAGAGCCCTGTGTCATGTGTAGGGTTTAGGGTTGGTTTAGGGTTTTGGGTTTTGGGTTTACTGTGTAGGGTTATAGGGTTTAGGGTTTACTTGCCAGGGTCTGATACGTTTGGCAAAGTATAGAAGCCCCCGGCATATTGAGTCATGAATCAAATCCTTGATGCAAGTCCCGAAGCACCTGTACATCTAGATCCCAAACCCTCGTCCCGAAACGAG